GATGAAATTTGATCACACACATACGCGCACGCGCGCGCGCGCGCGCGCACACACACATACACACACACACAGAGAGAGAGAGAGAGAGTGATTTCCAAAATCGATTTTCTTTATGCTCTTCTCCCCGATTCCCTTGATTATTACAAAATCCTAGTTAATTTCTTCTTTAATTTCTTTCCTCCTTCTTTCGCTATAATCACCGAAATAAGGTTCAGAAAAAAATTAATGAGCCTTAGATATTCTTTATCCATCCTTCGCTCCATGGTCTATTAATTAATTATAACATGAATGCAAAGGCAATTTCTTCACTTTAATCTGCTGACTATATACGAACTTGTCTACGGATGACCAATGAAAAATTTATTAAGATAGAAAAATTTACAACTTCAGTATACAAAAAGTAAATTTTGAAATATATTTAGCATTTTAATTTTATAGCGTTGAATTAATATATTAAATTATACTCTTAGTATAAGAAAGGTATGTTTGTCATATTTTTAAATTAAATGAATATGTTTATTACATCCGTGGTTCTTAATTTTAAGTAAACCAAAATATGCTTATCATTTTTAGGTTATAATTTTAAGTACAAAATGTCTATCATTAGTTTGGAATCTTAAATAAAATATGTTACTATTTTAAATCTATCATATTAAAGTAAGTTTAAAACTTTAAATATATATATGTCTTACGTTTGTAACCAATTACATTTTGTAATTCAACTCTAAAAATAAACTAGATCTTAAATTTCAAATAATCTCTTTTAAATTCTAACTTTGTATTTCGTCCCTGAACTTCCCATAAGATCGCACAGATTTGTTCTCGAGTTAAGAGGATTCAATTCCTTGATCTAAATTCGTTTAAATTATAATATATTACTTGAAAAAGAAATATTTTATTTGATTCTTATTTATACTTCTGTTTTATTTTTGATGTATCAATTCTACATGTGCTAAACTAAAAAATATACTTTTAATTCAAAGATATAGCGTGACAAAATTCTACAGGCCTCGATGTAACAGGGAAAGTAATTAAGGACCACTTCGACCAACTCTGATTAACTTTAATCGACGGTTAGTCCATTGGAATTGGCTAATCACATTTGTCGTTGACAAATGTAATTGATTAATTCCAATGAACTAATTGTCAATTAAAGTTAATCGAAGTTGGTCGAAGTAGACTTAAAAATAGATATAGCGAGCTAGGGTTAAAACATGTATGAAAATGAAAAATATTTAAAATTTGCAAATTTAGCTATCTACGTACTTCTTTATATTAATAAGATATTAAAAAAATAAAATATATCTTATTTCTATAAAAATAGTATACCTAATTGTATGAATTTTGGAAATGTATACATTTATTTCAACACAATTTACTCATTATTCTGTTATAACTTGCTCGATCAAAGCCCCTATTCTTGAAAAGAAATATAGTATCCGAAAAACTAGGAAAATACTATACATTATGTACTATTAACTATAGCATTTACCTAATTATTTGTATACGTTTTTTTTTTTTCAAAAATAAGGGTCCAGGTTAATACAGAGAGTTCTGCAATTTATAACTATAAATTAATGTTGCGAAACATACGTATTTTATTAATCAACATGCGATCACAGTTTGCAGTGGTGTTCATTTAGTCGAATAATTAATTGACAGTTGACCTTTTAAACATGGAATGGAAGAGGCTCATTCTGCTGCACTCCAGAACTGATGCTATTGCGATTGCTCTTTGTATCTATATTAATAGAAGTTATTGTTTGGACTTCGCTGATGATGGCTTAAATGTAGCCAAAATGTCAGATTTTTATCTTAAGAATGAAATTTGAAACAAATTGTGAGTTGCAACGCGCATTTACTATCGCGATATTATTGCAATCATCCGTTATTTGAATTATTACTGTTTTTATCTTGAAAACACAATTTTTTTTATATATTAATTATTCAATCAACACTATTTCTTTTATCTTTTGATATTGCGTCGTAATTGCTGAACATATGTCAACAACTTTGTATAAATACATTAACATCAGATTAATATTTTTGATATTTTTTTCTGATTATTTACTATTTTGTCAATTTTTTATATTCAATCTTTTCCATGAAATTATCAATGTAGATAAACTTTACACTATCATTAATGCATTCCTATTTTAAAGCGTTATATTAACCTGAACAACTATTTACGCTTTAAAATAAGAAACCGAATTTTGGCAGTTAGACATTTTTGTAGTAAGCGCATCAATTATTATTAATATTTAAAAAACGAGTCAATGTACAAGGACATCTTCACAACAGCGCAACGTACTATGTCTGAGCACACGAATTTCAGACACTATTAAGACAAATTTTAATCGTTTATAATTTGGAAAGCACTATAACCTTGACATTTTCGTATAAAACTTTTCGTCTTAAAATGTTCCACAGAATCTGTCAATGAAAGGATATACACTTTTTCTGAGATACCTTATGTAAATAGAATTAATTACATTAAACTATTTTGCTGTCTAAGTTTACTTATTTAATATACTACCGGAATAATGACGAGTAGTGGAATATAGAAGCTTCCTACAATCGCGTAGATTTGGTAGACAAAATGCTGATAAAGTGCGCAAAGAGTGGGCCCATTTTGTACTTCTTCATATTCATTTCCCATGGTTAAAAGTGGCGGCAGACTAATACACATGGCTAATGACCAAATGATGATGATGTATAGCGACATCCGTAACTTCGTCCTCTTCGTTTCATATTTTAGCGGTTTCATAATCAGCCAGAATCTTTAACATAAAAAGGAGAAATAAGAAAATTTCTATATTCATATATATTTATATATAATTAGTCAGTATTTATATGACTAATTTAGTATAAAAATAAAATTAATAAAAATTGATGTAACAATCCTTGAATTCTGTGAAGATTGATAAACAACATTGAGAAATATTGATACTGGAAATCAGCCAAATAAAAGATGCATTCGATTCGTAGGTCTTGCCTCTGTGCATGCATCTATGAGACAGAGCGTATGTTTCAACGTCCACTCTCACTCTCTCTTTCACATCTCTCCTCTCTCTAATTTGGCTACATAGATGGTCAGAATTGGGGCGAAATAATACTATACATACATGCATACGTATGCGCGCGCGCATACATGTACATACTGTACATACATTTTTTATTATAATGAACTTATAAAATGAGCGAAAACATGATAGCAGTGTCTGTCAGATCGTCGTTGCCGTCGGTATGATTTTTTTTAACGTTACCGTTTAAAGCTTAAACCCATCTAACTATTTTGTCTTGTATCATGAACATTAAAACAATCTGATAATAGCTAGAGAATTAATTAACCAAAATTGTCAACAATTACTAACCTTCACGTGAATGGATAAAGTATGCATTGATTTGCCCTTTTGTTATATAATATTAAATTATCTTATAGCGTATATTTAATGGCCCCAACAGGTTTGCACTAATCTAGGTTGAATTAATAACATTGCATGTTCCTATTGATAACGTCAACCAATAATAGAACATTATCCAACCCAAATCAGAGTAAACGCTTGGATCGAAAACGTTACATTCTACAATGTTGAAGTGCATATCTGGCAGGAACGTTAATTAACAGAACCGATGGCACGACGTCAACTTTCGTGAAAATTTCATTCCTAGCCATTAAGTTTTTCTTCTAATTCCTCGAATATTAATGAAAGATCGTTGAATGATTAACTCACCTGTCTATGGAAACCATACAGAGATTGAAGATACTGGCGGTACAGTTGAGCACGTCGGCGCTGAGCCAAATGTGACACGAGATAGAACCGAAGTACCAATCACCTGATACTTGATAGATTATGGCTGGTGGCATTACTATTAAACCGACCAGCAAGTCGCTCACCGCTAAGCTGATCACCAAGTAGTTGGAGCGTCGAAATCTTTTGAAGTATATGATGATGAAAAAGATGGTAGCATTACCTGCTACCGTCAGGAAAGTGATGAAGAGGAGCAGCGCAGTCAAAAAAAATGCCTAAGAGAAAATACATTTTTACAAAATTCCTATGTCATTGCCATATGGTAAGTGTAGATATTCTTAAGGGGATCCTAAAGTCGTCTGTTTTACTGATTATTTTTCGAATAAGTTTTCTAACTGCCATTAAAAATCTTTATTCACAATTAAAATGTATAAGCGAAAATATAGTCCAAACCGATCGACTTTATGTCAAAAATGAAAGAAAGTTGAAAAATTATAATTTTGTTATCGGCTTCTGACTCGCAACAATATTTGCTTTATATATATTTATTTTATATTTTATACGTAGAAAACAATTTTGGTTTGGCTAGGGATTACATGAACAAGCAATATTGTGTACTTAGAATTAGACTTAGCTACCTAATATAAAAGATTAATTAGTTAGAAAAGAAATTTATACGTACGTGTGCGTGCGATATTGATGTAGTAGTGTGTAGTGATATATCAATGACACGTAAATCGTATGTGTGTAAGTCCTACTAAATCGGTAATACAGACGACTTTAGGATCCCCTTAAGGGGATGCTGTTGTCGACTGCAATACCGACGGAACACGCATTTCATACTTTTCCATTTTCTTCGTTTCCGTATAAAACAAAAATCCTTATCCAGAATAAAAGAAAAAACGCAAATAGTTGTGGAAAACTACAAACCTATATAAAAAACAAAAAAAATTATAAATTACAAACTGCTTCTATACAGGTTCTCATATTCTCTCTTCACATGATATAAATAACTTCAAATATATATTAAAAAAAAAATTTCCCTACATTTGAATAATATATAATAATACGAGACCTTCAAATGATTATTTCCAACACAATATAAACTCTAATAATAAAATTCGGCATAATTACTCGAATGATTTAATAAAAATTCGATTAAAGACGAGCTTATAATACAGGATATTAAAAATAATTAAAATTTAATGTGTGTTAGATATATTAAGATTTCGAGCAAAACTAGTTTCGACTGAAGTCTTCATCAGTCGCATATATGTATATACAAAAATCAAATCCAATTAACACACAGAAACACCTCTCGAAAAATTTGTCATTCGGAACCAGCATTAAAACTATAAATCCCATATGCTTGTGGCAATTAAATAATCAGCATGCGCAATATGAGAGAGGTGTAACACAAGTTTAACGAAGAAGAAGAAGAAGAAGAAGAAGAAGAAGAAGAAGAAGAAAAAGAAATCCAATTAAAACATAATAAAGATCACAAAAATAAATTTCAGCAGTTTCGAATATAACATCATGGAATATGTAATTATTGCTATCTCATATAATGATTCCATCAACTTTGTTATTTTTGTAACATTTATTATATTTTAATTAGATTTGTTTTTTGTATTTATATGCGATTGATATAAAATTCTGTAAAATCAAAAATACACTGAGAGAAATGATTTTGTTATAGGAACAAATCAAGGAAAAGCAAATG